TTGGCTTGGCTTCTGACCGGCATTCATGCCAAGAACCATCATCCCTCAGAGATTTAGCACGAATCCGCACGATATCTACAGTATATGATTATACATTGTTGATGAATCAAACACCCCTCTATTGAAAAAAATATATAAAAAAACACCTCCTCAAGCCTGGAAAACACATTTGGGGGATATATATTTCATCTCCGTCTCCGTCTCCGTCTGTCAACAGGTTCGTTCCTTCGAACGAAAGTTCCGATCCGGTGGCTCCCTCGAGCGACCCATCCGAGCTGTTCGTTTCAACCGGAGATGCCCCGAACGCAGCAAGCGAAACGCAGCTTCTTTCCCGTTGATCAAGAAACGCTTCGCTCCTGAACTCATTTGGGCATTCTTCACTCCTTTCGGACCAGCTTGAGAAAAACTGCCCAACTGGAAACAGCTAGAGCTCGAAGGAGAAACACCGGCCAAGAATTTGGAAATGACATGCTTGATCCCATACGCAAAATCCCTGCTCAGCTCCAAGAAGCAAAGAAAGGCACACGGGCACGATGAGCTCCCAGACTTCGCACCAGCTGAAAGGCCTGGTGTCCAGGTCGACAGGACACACGGCAGGACCGACAGCGCACTGAAAAGAGGTCGCCATGCTTCGACTTCTGGTACCGAAACCGGTGAGAAAGAAGTCAGACCCGCGGCGCCCGTCTCAACGCGTCCATGCGCGTCCATGCGCGTCCTGGCCAGTCCCCGAAATGCGACAACGTGTGTCCAGTCCCTTTTCGTTGAGATACAAGGCAGTAGTCCTATACCTACAAACGATATCGAATAGCAAACAAAACAGCATCAGCAAAACAACGTTCTTTAAAGGATGTTCGATGAGTTCCTACACACCTTCCAATTTCACAGGCACCGCGTTTGGAGGGCAAGGCTACACCAATTGGACATATCCCTTTGAAACGGATATGAAGAACGTGTTGGTTGGCGAGTTAGTGTCTCCGGATGCCCTGAACCAGATCCTCCCTTTTTGCCAACCTGTACTCTGTGTCGCTGCCCGGGGCATCCTAACGGATCGATGGCGACGTCGAAGAACACTCCAGTACATCTGAAGTTCGAGTGAAATCATCAAAACAATCAAAAGAATGTCAGAATCACAGTATCTGACTGAATCGTACGAACATGAACTTGGTATAATATCATGTTTCGTACTTCCTTCAAGTCTGGGACAAATCCGGGAATTGACCACCCAAAAGCAGGCATTCCAACACCATCCTCAAAACCATGGTACGTATTGGTGGGAGAAACCGATACGTAGAACTCCTCAGGTGGATTACCGAGTCATCGCAGCAAGGAGCACGTGCGATGACGACAGTGCGGTTCCCTTTTTGACCTCTTTTTGTCGTGAAGATTTGATTGCTTGAGGACATACCAGAATGCATCAGAATGCCGGAATTTAGGAGGAATATAAAAGCATGGTTGTCTCAAAGAGTCTTGCAGGTTTGTCACACTTCGACCTGATATTCCTCCTTCCCTTGTTGATGCCTCTCCCAAACCACTCCCACTAGGTATTCCATGACGCAACCAGTGGCCTAGAGCAAGGCAGCACTGTTCGCAGTTCATTTGGGTGTGTCTTTTCATCGCGAAACCGCCCAATACATCACCGCCTATCGGCCACGGGCGGTGCCGATAGGAAGAGCTCTCGGACACGGTCAAATGGCCTCCATCAAATGGACATGATAAAGAACACATTCCAAAAGTTCGGCGCTAAGAAAGCTTTTTGTTGCTAGTAGCAATGGCCCCCACCCTATTGGCGATGGCCTCCAACCTAGGAGTTTCTTGTTACTAAGAAGCTTCAAAAACACACACTGTGTGAACATATTTGACATAAATAGAGTTGCTCGACCTTACGTTTCTGGAAACGGTTGTTCACATAGTTAGCAGGCTTGTAACCCTAGCCAAACCTCATATGACCAGAGGTCACACAAAAGCATGACAAGCAAACGAGGCTCCACATTTACTCAAGTGTTTGTATTTGTATGTATATATTTGATTATATTAAAAACATCTGCATTCTCCCAATGAAGACCTCTGATGTTTCTATGTGGCCTGCATGGTCTGTCACATCCGGCAAAAAAACAAGCCCCGGAGAAGGACACCCCTGGTGTCCTGGCTTATCACGTAGCTCGGGGACACCTTCTGTTGGATGAAGGAGAGCGCCGAGGGGGACTGGGCACGACAGCCGTGGCAGAACAAAGCGGGCATCGACGAGCTGCTTTTTTTGTGAGGGGGTGAGCCCGTCCCGGGCTTCCCAAGTCGGTAGGAACGCAAATGTTCAGTTGCAAAAGTCTCACATCCAGAAAGCTCATCTGCCAATGTCTCTCCTTGCATCAGGGCTTGGGGTGCGTATGAGGAACCAGTCTAGGCAACCCAGACAACCAACCTCAAATGGTTTCATAGTTTTATTTTCGGGTCGTGAAGGGACTCTATGTCATTGTCTTGTCGTAGAATCCTGGAAGTACTACAGGTTCCGACCCCCCCTTGGTCAGTGCATTTCCAAGCTTCCTCTCCACATGGGGTGCCCTGAAGGAACACTCGCGAGCTCTTGTTTGTGATTTTCTTGGATATCACATGGGCAGTTCATTGAAAATCTTAAACCCTAGAGGCTATAGGATTCGAACCACCATTGATATATATATATAATAGCCTGAATCCCGAAAAAAGAAACATGGTTTTACTAAGGATTTTACACTTGAAGGCTAGGGTTCAGTTGCTATGCCCAATTTGGAGAGCACTTCTTGGTCTGAGGTTCCGGTTCATCGCCAGCAGTAAGGACACCTGCGGCTTGGCTCGGTCGCGGCTCAAATGCCACGGGTCACCCGAGTCACCCTTAAATGGTGGGAGCCATGACCCCAAGAGTTCTGAAGCTTCAAGGTGAAGCTTCAAGAGCTTGCCCTGCGCGGCCTGCGCCTCCCTTTGCTTTTTTGGCCCATAAGGTCTTGTCGTTCAGTCGCTTTTCCAGCTAAGCCAGGCAATTGGCAGTTCTGGCCCCAAATCCCAGGAACGTCTCGGCGTCCAATATACCCCATGCTTGGGCCCATGCTCATTCAACCGAAGATCTGAGGAGTGCCCCTTTACACTCGAAAAACACACAGAAAAAAGGAACAGAAACAAGCCAACAAACCGCCGGAAGGTTGGATGATTGATAGAAAGGAATATGAAAGGACTGCAACCACCTCACTATTGGTTCGCTTGGAGAACGGAGACCTAACTACCGACCAATGGGTGCCGGCTCCTCCATCCGAACCAATCGAATGGAGCGCCATCGACTCCGACGTGAAATGGAGCGCCGGCTGGCGGCCCTGAAGATACATGTCCTTAGTAAATCGCACCAAACAGATCCCAGTGAAAACCTCACATGGACCCTGAAAAACCACTGGTGCAGCAGTGCAGCACTGCAGCAGTCTGTCCGAGAACCGGGTGCCAGACATCGACCACAGAAGGTCCGTTCTTTTCGGTCCGTTCTGCTTCTCCCCAAAACCGCTCCACGGATCTCAGAAAGAAAGAAAGAGAGAGAGAGAGAGAGTAAAGCAGCAATTACTACTAGTAACAAGAAGCTACGCACCTTGGAGGCCATCGCACCTCGCGTTTCAAGGCCCTTACTAGTAGCAGCGGACGGACGCTTTCGGAAGGGTGGAGGAACGCGCGGAAGGGTGCGGAAGGGACGTCCAGGCCCGACCTCTGGTGGGCCACGCGGTGCAGAGTTTCACCGAGGCACACGTGACGAGGAGGACCTGGCGAGGACGTGACCAGCTGGTGGGTGACCAGTGGGTGAGGCTGGAAGGCTGGGGGTTGAACTGGGAAGGGAGGTGGAGGGGTGTGGAGGATGCTTTTCGGGCTTCAGTGGGTTTCTTGAGGCTTCGGAGATGAAGATCAAGCGCTTCGTTTCTGGTACGGCGATGTAGGGCGCCACAAAGCAGTACGGTGGAACCGTTTGAAAGATCTGGACCTCCAGTTTCCCTTCAATTAGAAGTATGAGTCAACTACCTGGGAGGTCCGCCCAGCCCAACAGATTCGAACGTCATGCTCCAAACAGAATCATCCGCCTACCGATATAGAACCGCCCTGACCTGGACAATACAGACATAAAGCATGTAACCCAAAGGCTCAGAATGGACCCTCGTAGCTAGCAGCTAGGGTGTACTAGCAGTTGGTTTGCGTCCAGCAGTCGGTTCTTAGTATTAGTGGTTGTGTTAAACAACATTGACCATCTGCCTCACCGGCCTGTCTGTGATGAGTTGGCTTCAGGAACGAATACTGGCCCGCCCTGGGACCAACGCCCTACTGCCCTGCTCGGCCCTGCACTGAGGTCTCAGGCATGGAAGTTCAGTCTCGGCATTTCACCCTTCTGCGCCCCAGGAGCCAACGGCAAAGGACATGATGCATTTTAGAATCAGACCTCCAAATATTCAGCAGGCAGCGAGATATACCTGTCCTCATCCTGAGGTTCTTCCTGTCCTGTAGAAAGACCCGCATTATGAGAAACGCTAAGGCTCCTTCTACTTCTACCACACTTCCACGATGGCTTTCTACTTCTACACAGTTCCACAGTATTCCACTGTTACCTGCATCACCATCGGTTGTCAGCATCAACCATGGGAGGTGAAGATTGAAGTGTGGGAAACGCGGTCAAGGAGGAAGCACGAGTCGACATCCCCCGCGTTGACCGCTCTGAATCAGTCAATGCGACGAGGCAGTCCTCACATTCTTTGCCCGGAGCACCGGTAAGAGCCCCTTCCCTCTCTCAGCCCGGTGGCCAGGTGTTCTTCGGGAAATTCAGGTATTGCAGTGAACCCAACATGATTTAGCGACCTTGCATGATGCTTTATTCTGACCGTTAGTAATACTTTGTATTATATACGCACATAACCGCATTATATTCCATATACTTTGATTGACTGGAGCTCCCTGGTCGGCATATGTTGCTTGGGTGAGGTAGATCTCACATCACATCTGCTGTGCCCGGCGGTGAGAACTCCAGAGGCGGCGCCCAGCACCAAGATGGCACGATCTCGGTCGAAGCCGGTGGTTCGACCGCGGTCGCGTGGTCGCATGGTCGTAGGGTGGTGTTTGTTTAATAGTATCTTTTAAACGGGCATAACTTAGCATAACTCACAAGCACCTTCGGAAGCCCCTACACTACTTGGACCTCCATTGGACATCCCTTGAAGGTCCGGGTACGAAGTGTTAATAAACACATATAAGGTTGTAAAAGGGTCAGCAACTTGATGATGTCTCGCGTGGGGTTATCGTATATTTTCTACTCTTTATCGTTTTGTGAGGTTTGGCTGACCAGGAACAAACCTTAGCGTTTTTCGTGCTCATGGTGAGTGCCCATGGCGCTAGATGGCTGCAGCAGCTGCTGCAGAGTCTGCTGCAGCACTACTAGTTAACTAGTTGTTTAGTTGCTTTTGTGGCATCTTTATGCCTAAGTCTGCAGCAACTTTCATGAACACCCATAGCGAGCCACTGCATCAATGACACCAGCAATGACAACATCAAGATGAATTTACAAAGTGACGAGTAAAGTTTTTTAGAAATAGATGTAGAATAGACTTTTTAGCTAGTGCTTTAAGCTGTTTGATCATTGCGCAGAGGTTAGAAGAAAAACACAATACTTGAACTTTCCAGCTTGTCATGCGATGTCATGCGTGTTGGGGGGGGGGGCTGAAGCCGGATGAGTATCCATAATTACCCAGGTCGATCCATTTAGGTTCCCGGCAGCCACAGCTTTCCATCTCCGCGCAAAAGCCGACCTGGATCTCTGGGTGCGGTGCACCCACGCTCGTCGCAAGAGGACCGGTCACACTGGACAGATGGTTTTCCGACCTCTTATCATGAAGAGGGGGTCTTGTACCAAATCGACTCCGGGGCTTCTTCCACCCAGGTGGCTCGCGCCCTGAGTTTTCGTTGCATCCCCACATGCAAGATCCTACCGTCCAACAATTCCCTGTCCCAGCCAGTGCCACCGATTCCGTTCCTGAAGAGTCTCAGGGCACATGATGGGTCAATGGCCAAGGGTGCCAGACCTTTGGGCACCGGGTTTGTGCCCGTTTTGGGTGGAAAAAAACGGGTGTCGGTGTCGGGTCAGCCCAAAGGTGTACCTGGTTCTTTTGCAGTTCCTGGGGGGTACCTGGTGATATTCCGCGTTTGACTGTTTACGAGGATACCACCGGCAGATAGAAGGTGCCCTTTGCAGGAAACCAGGGCGCATGGTGCAAGTAGGGGGCAGGCTTGCGGCCTTTGCATGTGCGGGCCTCGGCCTGTCAAAAGACACAGTCTTTCGTGTCCCACATGGCCTGCAGTGGACATTTGAGATAGCCATGAGGATTATACACCAACTAATACCAACCCTTCTTTCATCTCTCAAGCTCCCAAATGGACAAATCAACCTCTAAGCGGTGTTCTTCTTTTTTTCTGCACTTGAGAGATTCCCCAGCTTGAAGCCGAAACGTACGACCCAATACGAGTTCAACTCGAAACTGCACTCTTGGATCAATACGCCCATTGAGAAACAGCTTGCTTGCGTCTTCCACTTCTCCCCCCCACCGCGAAGCCTGAGGCCAACCATCAACCACCCACACCTCAACCGCTCCAGGCCCTGGCTCCCACGCCCCTCGCTCCTCCGCCCCCTTCCCTACCGGCCGGTCGGACTCGTCCGGGTGGCGAGAATTAGGAAGGGCAGCCGTGAGTAGACGAAGAGATCCAGGACATCCTGATAGACCTCCCACACATCCGCCGATCGGCATCCGTTGCGTCTTTTTCGTTGCGCGGCATCCGCGATGTTTGGGGCAGTGTTGGTGTCGGCGGTGTCTGAACCGCGGTGATCCTGGTTCTGAAAACCGTCCTCGTCTCCATGTCGTGTTTTTTGTGTTCCTTGTTGGACAACGGGGGAACTCTGGAACCCCCCCCACGAAAGAACCAACGAACGAACGACGTCTCGGTCTTTGACCGAAGAAATAGAAGTATACGGCCCCCCTAGTAGCGTCCTTGCTCCTAGTAGGGTTGCCAGGAGCGGAACTCCCCGCGCGACGTGTGGTGGTGCACCCTTTGACTTGAGTCGGTGTGAAGTTCCAGAAACAAGAAAGTACCTGGATCCAACCAAGAACCGAGTACTGTTTTAATTCATACTGTATGCGTTGCATGCTGCAACCAATCAAGAAAAAAACCTGATTCTACTCGATATTTAATCCCATCTTCCTTTTGGATAGATCAAGTCGAAGGAACTTCAAGTCTTCAGTCTTCAGTCTTCTCAAATGACTCACAAAATGCTCATAGCTTCTGGTTGCTTTCTTCCTCTCCAAGGCCTGACCGCCCACCCGTTCCGAAAACCCACCACGGCCGCCTCTTCGCTCCCGATGCCTTTCTCCTGGGGGCTCCGCGCGGCGCGGTGAAAACCGCGGCTCGGCGGTCCGGGAGGCGGTCTTGTTGGGTCAACGATCCGATGAGATGGAGCATACACCCGGTGTGACGTAGAGCCACATGGAACCGAAAAACACATGGACCAGGCCGGACGTGGTGAACTCAGGTTCCATGTGGACCTCTTCCAGTGTGTATTTGAAGATGAGACCCAGCGGTTTCTGATGATGTAGTTCGGTCCTTTTAAGCGTGAATGTTGCGTTTTTCATGATGGGCGAATCGGGTAGAGTGGTGTTTTCTTGGAAAGAAAGGACCTGATTTGGGGTGACGGTCCAACTGCAGACCTGAGCATGGTGACATGGTCAAAAATCACGCAGGGAAAACATCCAGACATATCCATACCATATATATTCCATACATTTCCATACGGATGGTCCGCACTCAGCATCTTTCCCCTTCACCGACATGTTTCCTCACCCTGGCAAGGCGATGTGGCACCAGGTCAACTCCCCTCCTCAATGAGGTAGTCGACGAGAAATGGCCTCATCCGACATCATCGTTTCAAAGCTGTGTTCACATCAGCGGAAGAACTGTACGTCAGGCACCACCCCTCAAAAATAACCGTTCCAGGCAGTCTTTAGGTAGTTCATGGTAGTTCACATCCTCGTCATTTCCCAGATCTGTGCGAGAAATCCTTCCGAACATCTGCAACCACCAGCAAAGCAGCAATCGTTCAATCTTGGGACCCACACCCCATGGGACGATCTCGATCATGTGCGCAACAGAATCCCCTATCCTATAGCCCAGCTGGTTAGGATGCTCGGTTCTCACCCCCTCAGTTGGGGTGGAGGCAAAAAGGGTTCCATGGCGCGGTACATCTTCCATTGATCAGGGGTCTGTTCATGGGGTCCATGTAGATATTCCATGATAATCCATCTGGGTATATGTCAAAATAGAAAGACCTCCCACTGAGAAACCCTCCCTTTGGAAGAAGGGACATAGGCCCTACTTAGGCCCTCCTTGGCTTGGGGGAAGACTATGGAACATGTCAGCATCCATCAGCACCCATCACCTATCGATTCATAACGGTCCACGTCTGGATTGCGCCGCTCAGGGATCGGTCGAGTGCGACGCGGAGCCTGTTCCTGTTTTCGGCAGACCCAAAAAACAGCGTGGAATGCAGTGCATGGTTAGAAGAGATTGGTATGAAGATGTATGATATGTGATGATATGTGATGTCATGTTTGACCTTATTACTGTACCTTATTGCACGACTATATAGAGTACAATTGCCAATAGTTATCCAGCATCGCACCACCTGAAGGGATTCTTTTCTGCATCCCACTGAATGTGATACTTGACTGTCCCCCTAGGAATGCTAAGCATGGCCAATCTGATGCAAGAATGTTCGATCAAGTCTTCTTGAGGTCACATCAACTCCATGATCGAAAGGAACCCACGGTTTCTCCGTAATTTCAGGCACCCACCCGCACATACACACACACAAGATGGGTTGCACACCTCAGACCTCGTGTCTGGTCGGTTGGCTGGGGCGTCCAAGCTCGGAGGGCTTGAACTGTGACCAGAAAGCGAAGAGGTAGAGCCTCAGCCGACCGAACATCTCAGTTCTAACGGAAGGAGGAGGGGGCTCAGTCCCCCTCTTTAAAGAAGAACCCAATTCAGGAGGACCTCACGGAAGAGGGTTTCAAAAGTGATCCCCTCAACGCTGGGAGCTCAGCCATCGGGGTTGAGAGACAGGGAGAGGGGTCCGCCAGGATCTGAGGCCATGGGGAGGACGTTTGAGGCCTTTCTTGTAAAGTCAGGAAGTCTCTATCCAAAAGAAAGCGCTGAATGCGCATACCCGGCCCGCGCCATTGCTTTTGGGAAAGTCGTGCAGAAAACGCTAGATTTATGTTGGGCGATGGCAGCCATACATGGCCAACCATCAAATAATTTTTTCTGTGAAAAAAAAGTGAAAAAAAAAAAGCAAAATAAAAGCAAATGAAAATGCAAAAACAAAGCAAAAACAAAGCAAAAAGCAAAAACAAAGCAAAACAAAAAGCGAAAAAAAGCGAAAATAAAGCGAACAAAAAGCGAAAATAAAGCGAAAAAAAAGTGCAAAAAAAGCGACAAATATGTTTTTGCTGTACCCTCCTAGGAAAAAAGCGAAAAAAAAGCGAACATAAAGCGAAAAAAATGCGAAAATAAAGCAAAAAAAAGTGAAAAAAAGCGACAAATACGCACAGCTACATTTTTTTTGCTTTTTTGTTTGCTTTGCCTTTTGCTTTTTTTTGCTTTGTTTTTGCTTTATAAAACTATGTTGGCTCCTTGTATCTATGGCTGGCGTGCCCGACATAACGCTAGATCATCAACAAATTGAATGTGTAGAGGTACACACTCTGCTCTTGTGACTGCCAAAGAAGGACTTCTTTGGCAAAGACCCTGCCATGTTGCGATATATTCATCCCAATCGAGGCCACCCAGTCAGAAACTCACTAGCAAGCACTAGGAAAGGCCTGTGCCAGAAACCACACGGAATCCCCTGTCAACCCACTGATGATGTTGAACATCATTGAACATCTGATATCATGCTATGGATGTTTCTGGTGGCCGAACACCCACTCCACTCACTGCCCCGCCCCCCCGATCACCACGTCTTCACCGTCCGGGGACCATCGAAGACGCTCCGCCAGCCGGCCTTCGTGGTGTGCGACGTCCGTCGCCAAGGACGGTGGGACTTGCCCTTGTTCCGTTCGGGTCATCCTTGCTACTAGGCCAGGAGCTACTAGCTTCTTGCTCCATTCGGTAGCGATGCCCGTTGGTTCCGTTCGTAGCTTCTTGTTACGAGTATGGCGATGGCCTCCAACCTACTAGCGATGTTCGAAGGATCACGTTTGTGAAACCACCGGCACCGGCCAGGAACATACGACAACCAGCGTCGATCTTGAAAGTTCGAACAGCTTTGATCCGATCTTCACGGTGGATGTTTGCATCGCGTGAGAAAAACAACCCATATGAAGGCTTTACAATCCATGTCTGGGAGGCTATTCATTTGTTCCGTGTTTCAAAGGAGAGGTCGGAGCTGCCGCTGGAGGAAGAAACCGCTGCACCAGCTCAAACGAGCTGTTGAGCTGATCCATCGACGTGCCCAAAAACCATCAACGTGTGGCAAATCGGTGACTTTTACCGTCGAACCACGACCGTGCAAAGAACTGCAGGTTCGTTGGAAAAGCTGCGTCCCTTTCTGTTCACCCTCACCACCGGCCCCAAAAAAGAGCCAAACGAACGGCGGTCATTTGCCAAAACTTCGGGATCTGACAATCAGGAATCTGATGGAATCCGGATGAACAGTGCCTCACCTCAGCAGGGATTCGATGTAGGGAGACCCGTTCCTCATCTACCTTTCACGGGCCATGCTGCGGCGACGCTGTCTCTGTCCAGTCCACTCTCCAATCTGAAGATGGCCTGGGCCATCCTCCTCCGTCTCCTCCTTGCCTGAAACGAATGACACCGAATTGGATAAAGGAGTTTCTAGTGGTCTGAGCTGAATTTCAGGGCTCCAATGTGATCAAATGCATCTTTTGCCTATGGTTCTGACCTGTTCTTCCACGATTCTGTTGCGAGGCTTGTGCGTGCGCATCTTGTTGCGGGGCCTCTTCGGTGAGGACTCTTCACTCCTTATAAAAAGGGAAGGTCAGGAGATCCATTCGGGTGTGAAAAAGGTGTCCGTTCACGGCGAAGCCGAAGGTCCAGGTCTTGTGCTTTCCCGTGGCAGCGTTTCGACTCGATTGATGTATAAAGTATAAACAGGGGGTGGAGAAGTACATCTCCCTTCACATGTCTTTAATACTGGACATTGGCCAACCCATCGATTGAAGGGCCCCTTCGACAGGCCAAAATTCTGTTCGGCGTCCACAAAGTGCGAAGAACACAAATTGCTTGGAGAGGATATGAGAGGATCATTCAACATCCCTTCACGGCTTGACCCGACCGAACCCCGCGAGAGCACGACGAGCGCTCTGAGCCGGACGACCGGAGGCTGGACGCGGTCTTACGAGGCCTGGATCATCAAGCTCCATGGCAACATGAAGTGCAGAAACGCTAGGTTCGGCTGGGTGTGCTGGACGTGTTGCTGAGCGTATGTGGAGAAAAACATTGGGGGTCGACACGGGAAGGTTGGAACATGTGGGTGGAGAGAACAACTATAGGAAACACCTTAGAAAATCATAGAAAATCATACTTCTGGAGAAGAAACAGTGAAAAACTGTGAAACATCAGAAGAGGATACAGGATACACATTACAATGTGTGTGTGTGTGTCGAAGGTGTCAGATTTTTGGATGCATTGTTCATCATCGTTCAATCAACTTCAGGGTGGGTATACCATTGCCAAACCAAGGGGTTGTTCATGGTTCGTCCGGCGTGCTGTTTTAGATGTGGTCCTCAGATGTCGTCAGTGGAAAGAATAGCAGGATATAAACCAGAATAGTATAGTAGGTCCATTTGCCCCGCACCAGCGAGAGAACTACCTCCAAGTCCTGGGAGCTCAATGGTCTCTTTCTGCAAGCAGTGATCACGGCGGATTGGTGATTGCCGCGCTGGTTGGTCAGGAGTTGGGGGCGAGTGGACTGGTCAGTCAAGGGATCTTTTGGCTTACAAAGCCTTGAACAGTTGCTCACTAGTCGTCATACGTGAGGTCAATCAGTACCATATTGTGGCGTGGGGTTCAGTGATGAGTTTCGTAAGTCAGCCCCATGGAGGGAAAGAACCTTGGGGGAATCGGAGATCTTCAACTTTGCCGAGAATGAATTGTGTTTTCCGCTGTCCCAATAGAACTCAAGTGTGCAAGTCCGTGTTTGTGAGTCTTAAAAAAGAACTACTGGCGCCATGAATCGTTTCTTTCAAAAATAATCAACAAACAATAAAACATGTCCACCTTCCTGGGCTCTACGGAAAATACGCATCCGTCAGCGCTTGCGTGGTCGTTTTCCATCCGATTTCGGATCGCACGCGCGGCGCATTTTCAGGGGGTTCATTGAGCACGGGCACCCGATCGGTGAAGCGACACCGAGGGTCGCGGTGAACGGTAAAAGGTATGGCAAAGCGCTGCGATCTCCACTCAGGCTGCAGCCTTACATAAAGCAAACATGCATCTTCGATGGGTATATGGTTCTGTGACTCTGGGGGTCTGTGGGTAAAATGTCAGGACTTGGACAATGACAAACATCCGCCGACCCCGGTCTAGGACGATGAACGTGAGCGTGAGGACTAGCGTGTTTTTGAGAGGTGCCCCGGTGAATTATATATCTCAAAAATTAATAAGTGTATAATATATATATATATATATGCATTGTTTAAACTCTAGATTCGTTGCTGACCGTCCACCCTTTTTCGAGGGAAAACGTCGGATTTGGTCTCGGTTTCGACGGTCCCCAGGGTCCGACTCCCACCCCTTTGGATTCAGGCATGGGGGCCTTGTTGTGGTGCGGTCTCACACCTGCCTCCAAGGAGGAACATGCTTTACGGAGGCACGTGCGCGCGGGTTCCGTGCTGGATGCGTCGGAAACGCGCCCAAGCTTATTAGACATGGATTGAAACGGAGCGGCCCCGCTTCAAGAGTGAGTCGGGACGGTGCAACACAGCAATTCGGGTAGGACAAATTGATGCCTCTGGCTTCATTTTTTTGAGATACATATCTCTTTGAGGGGGCCGTCGAAAAGCCGGCCAAAGTCCTCAAGCTGCTGGCTTCACGTCCTTCTTGAATTTGTTCTTTGAACCGAAAGTTGTGATTAAGTTATCTGCAAGTGACACACAGTTGGCACGGGTGCATGTAAACTCTAAGCCTTCTGAAGGCAGGGAGGTATGTAAGTGGTCACTGATGGAGAGGGGGAGAGAGAGAGAGAGAGAGAAAAAAAAACGAGATAAAGATTCAGAGAGAGAGAGAGAGAGCGGAGCGAAAGAGAAAAAGACCATGAAAGCCAGAGACAACCGACTGGCGCACCGTTCTGCCTTCCTCTTTGTCCTGCTCCTTCCTCTTCTTCCCCTTCCTCTTCCCTTCGGGTCTACTGGTGCCCGACTGTCAGTCTGTCTCGGACGCTTGAGTTCAACGTAAATGGAACAACACCAATGGAACAACCACGGAAAAACCGTCTCAGAAAACGAGAGAACCTTCAAAAGGGGGCACCAGTTTTCTCAGAAAACGACGCATTTCACACAAAAACTTTAAAAACAAGGAGCTTACGGCTCACACGAACAAACCCATTTATGTCATGTCACAGCCACATTGGTTTCAGAGAAGATGGCAGCTGGCACACCAAAATGTCTTAGACAAATGGAGGTCCGCCTAAACCACCAACATTGGACATTTGTGCCATCAAACTCTCAACCCACTATGTTGGTCTTGATATACCTCATCGGCGCATCGGCCTAGAGATACATCTCATCAGCCTGGTGCCTTTGCCCTCTGTACAGTTGTGGATCCACTCCACCCGAAACCAAAGCGAGGGAAGTGGAAGAAGCAGCTGCAGCCCACGCGGTGCGAAGAGAAAAACGGCTCCAGCTCCAGCTCCCGGAGCCACTGTGCGAAGACCCGTGGGGTGAGGGGAAAAAGACCAGGCGCCTCAGTTTTGGGGATGTGCAACCTCTGTTGGTGTGGTTGAAATGGACATGCGCAAGTCTGACGTTCTGAAAAACCGGGGGCCTCCGGACCACAAGCGTCCAAACCCGCGCCTCCTCCCACGGAGTGTACGTACGCGCCTCCGTTCGAACCCATGGGCGTTACAAGCGCTTGATTCCGCTTGATCAATACAGGTCAGGCGGTCTGAAGTGGGTCACAGGTGTCTAACGGCCCAAAACAGGACGACGGGTGTTTCCACTCGTCCCGTCGAACGGATTGAGGGGTCACGGTCCCCTGCCACTGGGCTACTAACGGAACAATCCCAGCGTCCCACAGTTCAGGTCACAGCTGTGGAAAGCTGCATGAGCAGGACCCTTACAGCCACCAGAGAACAAAACTCACTGGTGCTTCGTAGGGAAAAAGGGAATGACCCCCCCCCTCTAGTGCAAATACCATGCGGCACTACCTTGGGGTATCCCTTCCCTCGAAGCACGTCGCACCAGTCCGAAAAGGATCGAAAACCTTCTCGTTCTGTTCACGTGTCTTGCAGGACGGTCCTCGGTTTTCCCGCTTCTGGGTCTGAGGACCATCATTGACCCCCAAGGTCCCCCAAGGCATCAGGCGAAAACCACAAGCCCAAGAAACTCGGCTTGAACCAAAGCCGCCGGCTTTTAAAGGAGTCTGCAATCCTGAAGTGCCCACGGATCCGTTTGCAACGGATCCTTTGAGATGAAAAGAACCACCACACAATGCGTCTTGGTGGATTGCCGGGGACTGTTGTATGATGTATGTGACATTATCTGGGATATCGCTAGCCCCTACAGTAGCGGAAACATACAGAAACAGCCGTTCAAGCCCCTTTGGATCACAAAATCCAAACACAAGACAATGACTGGCGGGAAACTGGACCGTGGACCCAAATAAATTCGAAAGCTTCGGTCTTCTTCATGGCAGCTTCGGGCGCTACGCTGAAGCTACGACGAATGCGTTAGCAAAGCCAGTACAGTAACGTGCATCGTTAGCACGTTTCCTGGCAGGGAAGGGATCAAAAAGATGCAGCTCGGCCATGGAGGCCACATGAGGCCAGCTGAAGGAACAACGCCAACAAGAACTTCAGCAGGTTTTGAGTTTTGAGAATCAACATGCGACAAGGACATCAAGCAGCTGCTCATGACAACTAGATCCAAATCTCTCATCTTGATCCCACACCACGCAGGTTCAACAATGATCTGCCAACTCATTAGCTGGTCATTCACCTCAGGCATCAAGCGCTTCTCGATCGGATACGATAGTTGTTGTATAAACATGTTCTGGAATCAAACTCTGCCCTCAGTGGGTTGTCATCGGTTGATTCCTTTAGCATCATGCACATCTAGTGCTATATAAATTACCTTACTGTTGAAGTCCAAAAATATCGCCTCCACATGGATGGAGATCAAAGACATCGGTTCTCTTCAAGCTCAAGGGATTCAGGATGGAGAGTCATCTGCAACACTTGCCTGATCCAAATTGATCAAAATCGAGATGGACCGGGTGATGCCGTCCCCTCTCACCACCCCGTCAGCAGGCACGAAGCAGTCGAAAGCCAGGCCACGATCATCTGTGCGGGTCAAATTGCTGTAGGCCGCATTAAGGGCCTACCGGGCAGTGTCAGGGGCGGTATCCAACCGCGTGACTTTCAATCGTTCTGACCTGGAGTCATGACGCATTCAGAGTAGATCATGCTTCTTGGCGGTACACAACAGTTCTTCTTTCAATCTCGTTCGTGGATCATGCTTCTCAACACGCCCACCTCCGTGCCATGAAAACGGTCAGCTCGTGCAAACAGCTATAAAGAACCCGACTGACTTCTGGCCATTTTGAGAACGTATGTTTCAATCCTGGATCTGAGCGCTGAAGAGAGAGAGAGAGGCAGAGCGAGAGCGAGAGCGGGAGCGGGAGCTGGAGCGGGAACGGGAGGGAGGGACACTCATGATCGACCAAACGAAGACCTGATCGGCAGTTTGGCCTTGGTAGTTGACCCCCCCCCTTCAGCAAGGGTACCAAGCTGGATTTCCTGATGAATATTCATGAATAATGTCTCTCCTGATTGATCTCTGCTTCATCAGGAGCTTCTTTTAAAAAATGATGATTTCGCTCATGACTGGGAACTTGGCTTTCTCCACCTGTCCGTAGGTTTTCTTTCAAAGGAGGTCACTCCAGTCTGAGGAGGTCACTCCAGTTGTCCAGGCGCCAAGTATGTTTCTCATCGTGATGACCGAACATTCCGTACCACTGACGAGAAGACACGGCTCAAATCAAACAGTCCCATAATTTATATATGGATATATATATATATAATATGGCTGTATGTCAAACCGTGAGGCTGTGGTGGACCGACGCGAACATGAAAAAAAAGAAACATAGATGACCTGAAGAGGAGGTCAACCTGCCAGGTGCTACCAGGGATTCGGGGTGGGTTTGGGAGCATTTTTGGAGCCACAGCCATATCATCAAATGAAGGACTTCCAATCACAAGCCCAGGCCAGGGACCTCGTCAGAACTGTCGTCCAGCTCCAGCCCTCCCGTCTGCCTGGAAGGTCACGGTATTCCCGC